TATTTTAAAAAAAAATTCAATTATTTGAAGTGACCAAGACACCCTTTAAAGTTTTCTGAGTACTTGAAATTTTTTTAAAATTATTTTTATCAGATGCCTCCTACTTTGATGTACTGACCCCCCAAATTGTAGTTTAATTTGATTTATATAAAAATAATAAAATAAATCAAAAAATAAATAAACTCTCAACCAATCGATCAAGATCGGATGGTTCAGCATATGAGTGATCTACTCTCAAAAAAACACTCTAGCATATTTCAATTTTTTTATATACGTTTGTAACTTTGTATGTATGTGTGTATTATGCATGCATGTCGCAAAGCGATAGAATTTCAAGAAATCATTCCTGTGTTAAACCATTGGTTTCTCATGTATGCACACATCATTGCAACGTAATAGCATCAAGAGTCAGATGAGAACCACATCCAATTATGAAGATGCTTAAGAAAATTTTGAACTATGCATTGCTGTCCAAAAACAATTAATTTAATAAATCATACACAGAGATCCCGATTGAAAATCAGTTTGCCTAGGCTAATATTAGTCAAATAAATAGAGTTTCGAGGAACAAGTTACCACATAATCTTTGCAACATCATCAAACATCACACTACATGCATGCATAAGAGTTGAGAAAACTTTCAGAGATGGAAGGATATCCTTAAATTTGCAGCATTAAGATACTCCATTTGGCATGAAGCACCGAAGATATCCAAACCATACCTGCAGTTAGTCAATACAGTGATATGTGAGGCTTAGCATTTTGACATTTTGATAGTTCATAATTTTAATGACATTTCTCATATGTATTACAATTCCTCCAATCACAGTAAGTGATACATAGGAAGTTAAGGAGACTAGTTACATATTCACTGTGTATAACATATTCACTGTGTATAGTATAACTGTTGAATACATAGGATTTGATTTGTTAGCCCACAGCTCACAAGAAGCAAACAAATAATACTTCTAGTGAAACATAAAAGATTTAAGCACATTAAGAGACTGTTTGATAACACCCTAATATTGTAATATTTTAAGATAATATAGAATCTAAAAAGTCTTGGGGGCCCCTATTTGTTAGCCGCCCTATTGGTTCTTGAGGCCCCTTCTCCACCACTAAATCTCAGACCCCAATAGAGCTCCTTCTTATCTCTCTCCTCTCAACGTTCATGCCTTTTTTCTCACTCCTGTACCTCAATCCCAAAAAGTCCCCATTGCTCAACTCCTTAAGATTTCCAAAATCCCCAAGCTTGGGTTGGCTGATTAACATGGGCATGAGCTCAAATAATTGTGTTAAAAAGGAATATATTTTTTGTGGGATTGTTGAAGAAGAGGAGGTTTGAAGAGGGGAGGTCGTTGCAGAAAGAGTAAATGGTGATCATGCCAGCAGCTGCGGAGATTAGGTGGTGGAAGCCAGAGCCTATGAAGAGGGCATGGGCATGCCTTGCTTCCTTGAGAGAGAGTGGTTGAGTAGAAAGAGAACGAGATAGTCAAGAGTGCAGGAAGTTTAGCTCATGGAATTTGAGTTGCAGATCTTTTTGGGATGTTGAGTCGAGTTTTTTGAACTCGGCCTTAAAATATTTGCAGGTGAATTAGGGTTCTCCCTTATTTATCATTTTGGGTTCTCTCTATCTCTTGGTCTTCCATTTTTAAGTCCAATTCGGCTCTGTGTAGTCTATAGTCTATAGGGCATGTTTAGGCATGTGGGTAATTCTCACTCTTTCAGTTTATTTAATGGTCTAGGATTCTTGGAACATATCACGGCATTCATTTCTCCCTATTTCTCTCTAAATTTTGGCCTCTCTTCTCTCTCTATCTCTCTCTTTGTTATTTACGAGTTTTGGTTGTCATTTGGGTTCCTCTGGATTAGAAAAATAATAAGAAGTCCTAATATTTAGTATTTTAGTGATATAGTAAAGAGCAAAGAGAGAGAAACCAATGAGCCAAAGTTGTTACCTGTGTGCCTGGGGAAGGCCCAATTAAGAGAGAGAAAGTCCTAAAGTTCTGGCGTACACAGAAAACTAACCCCCCATGCTCAAAGTGGCAGCAGGTGTGGGGAATTTCCTCCTCTCAAAACCTCAAGATCACCAAGTATGCCATATCCAGCAAGCTAAGGATGCAGTCGCATTATTAATGAATGACCACACAATCACACCTCCTCAATTGCATGCCATCATGCAATATCATATCATGGAATGCCATGTTATCAACATACATACATCATGGCTATTTCAGAGAGGCAGTCTCTCTCTTTGATGCCATGCCCATCGGAGACGCATACTCATGGACCGTCATAATCAAAGGCTTGGCTAATAATGATCAGTTGGGTAGTTCTAAGAAGCTCTTTGAGATGACCCTAATACATGATATTTATTTATTTAATATACAAGTGGACAGTCAAACGTGCACGGAAAACACATATTATGATAACATAAAATCTGAATATATAAGAAGCAAGGCAATGTCTTTATTCAAATTTTTAAATATTGTAATACTTATATCCTGTTTTATCCAACATACCCTAAGGGTCAGATGACTGTCTCTATTTCGAGCTAAATGGTAACCTCTGGCATATCACAAAAAGAAGGGAAAAAAAATTGAAATTGAAATTGAAGTCACGTCATCAGCCACGTTCTGATAACTGCTATACGTCCCAGTTAGACTGAAATCAACATGTAATGATATCATCTTCAACAAACAAACCCTAATATGGGTGTGACTAGGCACAAGAAGGATAATAATAGAATTAAAGGCCAACACTAACTTTCATATCCAAGTTTAGACTTTCTTATAAATCCCATTCTAGCTTAGAACAGGTTGAACAAACAAGGAGTTAAATATAGTGAAACGGTACACATGAAGCAATAGCCTGAGTAGACCTACTGATGAAAACCATTAGGCCAACAAAGATAAATTTGCCGTTTATTTCATAGTTGGTGGAGGTAGGAGCAGTTCAAGAGGAAGATCGGTTCGGGGAATGCCAAACTGCAATAGGTTGGAGGGCCCTGGGGTTAGATAGCCGTCCATATAGTCAACGAGTTAAGGAGTTAGGTCCTAGGATACTTGGGAGCTAGATCCCATGTCACTGGGAACGAGGTTTTGACTTAGAGGGATCTAAGCTCCACCATACATAAAATGATCGAGCCAATACCCACTCGATCCATTATCATACACCTTAGCTTATACTAATGCCATAGTTATAGCAGTAACACAATTTAATAATATCATGAACTGACTTAGTATGATATTTTTTGATACCATAATTCTAGTATACCATGATGTGATATGCACCACGGTTTAACATAATCTAAAGAAATAAATCTATAATACCCAGGAGATGACCATCAGCACAATTAATAGTATAGCTCCTCTACTTGGAGGGATCCTACAAGCATGTAGACAAGTGTAAGCTAATGAACACTCAACATTTGATGAGCCATATTGACAAATATAACAGGTGAAGGAGAAGAATATAAAGATGATTGATATGCTAATTGTACACAAATCTATTGTTAGAATTTTTCTTTTCCTGATAAACTCAGTTGATAGAATTATATGTAGAGTTGTCTCATAATTCGTTCTATAGTTTTCTACATACAAAATATTTAGGGCATTTCTCTTCCTTTAATACATTATTGCAAATGTAATGCCTTTGTAAACCTGAGAATGCTCTTTAGATGACAAAGGAGGGACACTGTCTCCACATAAATGTCTCAAAAAATAGTAGTTGTAGCTACTCAAAAGTTCAAAGAATGGAAATCCAATTCTGAAGAGGAGGACCGGGGGGGAGGGGGGGGGAAGGGAGGGAGAGAATCTCCAAAGCATAGTTCCATACTTTATTATTGCAACTCACCCAGAAATATAGTGCTATTATTATTGGTAAGAACTTGAGTGCATAATAGCACTTGCAGAAGAGGCCCTCGAACTGGAATCAAAAACTAAGTTTTACAGAGGAAGCTGCTAAATCTACATAATCTGTGCCAACTGCAGTATTGGAAAAATAACAACATGCAACAACACACAACCACACACAATGTATTCCAGTATCTCTGGACTCTCTGCAAATACTAAATAGAAGCTCCAGCCATGTCAGTTTCATAAATTAAGCCTCAGGTGATGAGCCTACTTAGACAGTGACTTAGGGATCAGTCATATGGCCCAAGACCATCCCACATCTAAGAAGTTCAAATTTAAATTTTAAACCTTAAATATATAGAATTATGGTTCAAACTTAAACCCCAAGGAACAAACAACACATCATAGCTGTATCACATTTTGTTGTTTTAACATTTCTTCATTTGGCAGCCATTTTCTCAGTTTCAATAAATTATTTAATATACATAATTGCATGTGAATCTGATATCTAATTGGCAAATAATTGAAAAGAATGAATTGCCTTCTTCAGCAATCAGTAATGTTTACTATAAGACCTTGGGACAAAGAAGCCAACTGCAGCAGGGCCTAAGGTAGGACAGTGCCTCTACCATAACTCTGACAAAGGAGTCTCTTCAAACAAATTATATATGCAGTCCATTCAAATATTTCCAATTCAACTTGGAGCCATTGGTCAACTTGGAGCCATTGGCATCATAAACTAGGGTTATCTAAATTGTGACAAACTTTCTCTTCAATTATTAATTGGCCCTTTCAAACCAAAGGCAAATAAAGCAACTTGAACACGTGCAGTATGTCTACAAAATTATACATTATGTACTTATTATTTTATGTTATCATCACTGTACGTTCTATAACTACAGCAACAATACTTGGAGTTTATTTCTAACAAAGAGTTTCAGACTATGAGGAAGCTACAGTATATAAATGGCCATTTTTACCATATCCTGAGGTTTTATGCATACGTTTCTACATTATGTACTGCAAACATGTACCATATGAAATACTGAAAAATGGAAAGCAATACATCAAGGCATCAATATAAGTTGTATATCATACAAAGCTATAGTGTTGTTATATGTATATTACTTTCTTTCTTCGTCTTTAAATCTCATGCGTGCATGCAAAGATACATGCATGAATTTATGTATGTAATACATATGTTGAAGATGCATATCATTATGTATATATGGCTAGGAAAAGAGGTATGGTTAGGCTATGACATGACTGAGATTTCATCATCCTATCATTCTAAAACCTCCAAACGAGGTATTGAGAGGAATGATCACTAGTTCTGGAGGGTCCAGGTACTAAGCCTTGATAGATGCCAATAGATTTGGGGCCATGAACCACATTCATACACGCATGTTTGGCCACACACACAACGCACTTGATATAATGTTCATGTATCTTTTCTTATAATTATATAATGTTGACAAAATTCATAGTCAGATGTCAAATATCTCAATCACAATGCATAAGTATATTTCTGTTATGGATTAGAAACTTTTCTATTACATTATGCAGTGTTTCTACCAAAATAAAAACTAAGCACCATGCTATTATTACATGCCTATCATAAATCATTAGATGCCTATCATGCAAGTTCTTTTTTTTTCGTTTTCTTTCCCCTTATATTGATAACTGGATGTATATCATACAAGTTTTCAGTTCTTGAAGTATCTAAAACTTAATAATTAAATATCTGACTGAAATATGAAGCTGATTTAGTAGCACATAATACAAGCCTCAATTTAGAAAGAACCAGTTCCAGGATCCATCATGATACACCCAAGGAAAAACCAAGACACCATTCAACTTAACATTACTGAAGCATTATCACAGTTGGGAAATATATGGATTGGAGCAATCTAAAACAACAAAACACATCAAAATTCCAAAGTAAACAAAATAAGAACAAATCTGCCAAAAAAATTAAAAAAACGAAAGGGCAGATGCAAAATTTAAAAAACAAAAGGGCAGATGCAATGTTCAGAGAAAAGCAGATAAAAAAGAAGACATGTGGCATAGGATATTACCTCCTCATGGAGTGATTCAAATGTTGATACAAGAGCAACACTCGAACCAATGAGAGGCTAACAAGCGGAATGTTACATCAAATTCAACTTATTCATTAGTATAGCAGCCAAAAAGTTGCTATAGTCATGGTTTGAAGAGTCACCCCACTCATCACTCCTCACAAAATTTCTCGGCAACCATTTCACTACTGAGAACTTCATTCACCAAAACCCGAATAGCATGGATTTTGTGGTCCTTTCTTAATCGCTTAAACAATACAGCATGAGTACAAGAATCAGGCTCAAGACCTCTCCCCAACATTTCGGCATACAATCTAATAGCTTCCTGCCAATTACCCATGTTGCAATTCTCATCCATCAACAAAGTATAAGTGTATTTATTGGGGGATAATCCCTTTCCTTCCATCTCATAGAAGAGGCTATAAGCCTGGTCTATGCGTCCCTCTTTGCAAAGACCATTTATCAAAGCATTGTAAGTGATTTCATTTGGTGATAACCCACTCTCAATCATCTCAAAGAAAAATCTAAAGGCCATATATAGCCTACCTTCAGCCGCATGAGCATGGATCAATACCGTGTAAGTAACAATGGATGGGGATAATCCCCTCCACTTCATTTCGCCAAAGAGCTCCCTCGCTTCTCTAAGCTCCCCTTTTTGGCAGTTTCCCCAAATTAGTGAAGTATATGCCACAGAATCTGGAACAAAACCATCTTGCACCATCTTTTGCAAAAGTCCATATGCTTCATGTAAACTACCCCACCTGCAAACACCACCTAACAATACATTATATGTAATTCCATTTGGCGAGATTCCCTTCTCAACCATCTCATCCTTTAAGTGGAAAGCTTGGGCCACAAAGCCTGACCTAATCTCACCATCAATTAGAGTAGTGTATGCATAACAATCGGGATGCATTCCATTACCAACCATCTCATCAAAAAACTTCCTTGCCATAATCAAATCACCAGCTTTGGAGTACCCATTTATAAGAACCGTATATGTAAGAGTATCAGGAAAACACCCCCCAATGACCATCTCATGCATCACTCTTTTAGCCTCCTCCAAGGCCCCAACTTGGCAGAGGCCATAGATGAGAGTGTTATAGGTTATAATTGTGGGCATGAGATGTTTCCTTCTTAATTCATCAAACAACCAGAAGGCCTCCTCTAATTTTTTTTCGTGACAGTACCCATATATCAGACTGTTAAAAGAAATTATATCAGGAGTTAAATTATTGCTCAAAATCCCATCAAATTGCGACCTTGCTTCTTCCAACCTCCCTTTCTTGCAGAGCCCATTGATTAAGGTGTTATAGGTGGTGATAGTGGGGGAAACCCCATTGCTTATCATCTCATTGAAGAATTTGAAAGCATTTCTGAGATTTCCTCCAATGCAGTACCCATATATCAAAGGATTGTAAGTGTAATTGGATACAGCCAACCCATGAATTTGCATCTCTGTAACCAACTCCACAGCCTTGTCCATTTTGCCTACCTTGGATAACCCATTGATCAATACATTATAAGTAACATCACTAGGCATGCACCCTTTCTCCTGCATCTCTGATAAAAGATCAAGGGCCTCTTGAACCTTACCCTCTTTACAAAAGGAATCCAAAAGTGTATTAAAAGTGACAACAGTGGGGCTGATCCCAACCCTTATCATCTCTCTATAAATCTCTCTAGCCTTATCTACCAAATTCCCATCTCTAAGCATCCGAAGAATACGGTTACAATTTCGAACATCAGGCAAGAAGCCATTTCCCACCATGCTGTAAAAAGTTGTTACAGATTGTTCCACCATGCCTTTTTGTGCATAAATCAAAAGAAGTACATTAAGAAGTTTAATGGAGGATTCCGAGCAAACAAACCCATTCATCAAAAATTCAGGTAGTTTGTCACCATTGTGCTGAATTACATTTTCAATAACACGATACGCAGATTTCATTCGCCCTGACTGAGCAAGAATATTAAGAATGGAGCACAACACAATGGCAGAGCATTCGAATCCAGGGAGACGCTCAGTCCAGTAAAAGAAATGCAAAGCAAGTTTAGGTTGATCACGAATAGTATTGAGAACCCCTAAAAAAATAGATGGTTTTACAATCAGAGATTTATACTTCAATAACTTGCGAAACCCAAGTTTTAGATCACTGGTATTATTATTGAGCGTTCTAAAAATGAATTGCACGAGTTGGGTTTCACTGGTGCCTGATACACGTTGAGTTTCAGTGGGTTGTGGGTTCAGACAAGATTTAATGGCATTGGTGTAGAAAGAGAAAAAAATGAGGGTGTGGGCACATACCAGGATGTGGGGTTTGGAGGCTGGTAAGTAACTCCTGGTCAAAAATCTCATCATGGTGAGAAAGAAAGGAGAAGTGAGTGGAGGCCTGGTTCCTTCTTCCTCCTCTTCCTGCGCTCTTTTGCCATTACTGAGAGCCTAAAACCGAGAAGCTTTCTGAAAAAAAAAATGGGTCTCCGATTTCCTCCATTTTAAACTGAAAAGCCAGGAAATGGCTCTCAAAAACCCATTATAGGCGTGATATCATGAAGTTCTAGAAATCATTCTCCAAGAAATAAACGAGACTGAATGAGTTCCCATAACCAAAATGTTATGAAATAGGCCCCTGATTTCTACTATTTTATACGAATTTATCGGAAGTAGACAACTGAATCGATTTCAGCATGAAATAGATTGAAATAGAATGAATTATTTGGTTTTAAAAGCACATAAATGGGTTTGGCGTGGAGAGTTGAGAGCCATGTCCGTTTGAGATTTGGAACAATACAAGCTCCTCACTTAACCGAAGCCCCACCTCAGGAACGACGCTCACAGACTCCTTTGAGCCAAAAAACAATAAACCCCACAACAATGAGGTTAGACCCATTCCCACCCAAACAAAAGGAATCGGTGCTTAATAAACTATGCTCCCGCGGGAGCAAATTGTTCATTTGATCCAAAAATTTGGCCTGGAAAGATTTTTTGGATATGAAATATTGGGATCTAATTAATGATTATTTTCAAACGATAAATTAGAGTTTGAACTATTTAATAACTAGATATTTCTGTCCAAAAATTGGACAATCTAAGTTTAATTTTGGGATATTATTTTTTTAGGTTCATAGAGCATGTATTTGTAATTTTTTGTTTTTAGGAGTTCAATATGTAAGTAATAGATGATACCTCTTCAAAAAATTTGTTTATGATGGATTTTTTAGGCCTTAATTCTACATTTCTATTTTGTGATGAGGTTATCAAGGCTCTCAATCAAATTGAAAACAAAAAAGAAAGTTTGAAAATTAAAAGAGTTGATTTTTCAAAATAAAGCATGTGTAAGATATTTATGAAACAGGTATGAAAGTATGACATATTTTTCATATTAATTTTGTTTGATGGAATTAGGTTAAAGAAGCTGAAGAATAAAGTTTGAGCACTTTCTTTTTAAATTTTAATCATGATGATTGATCTAAATATTGTCTGGTTAATATCTCTCACCCCATAGATCTCCTGTGATCAATATTCTAGATTTATGCTCCATAACGATGGTTAAACCTAAGAAATCCTAACCCTAGAGAAAATCTATAAATAGACACCAAGGGGGTCTTATTCTCTACACATCTCATCTCTCTTTCTTCTCTCTCTAGGTAATACGCAACCCTCTCTCCCATCTCTCTCCAAGATCTCTCATCCCTTTCTCTAAAGTTAGAAAGATTTTGGGTAAGGAAAAATAGGGGCACGCCCTTGCTATAATAGCCCAAAGATGGGTACACCCCATATTAGACATTGAGATCTAGTCTTACACCAAGTTGTTGCAATATTTTGATTTGATTAAGGGTTGTAGCCTAAGGTTTCCCACACTTTGAATATCAGAGTTAGATTATTGATAATGTGCGTCATTACAAGAAGAGACCTAGAGTGGGGTGTGCAAAGTCAAGTTGAGGTAATTTTTTGACATCTTATTCTACGGTCAGTCTTGTTATTTCTTGTTCCCAAGAGCCTTATGTGATTTTATTTATTGAATAAAAGAATTATTATTAGTGATAACAAGTGAGAATCTTTTTTATTAATGTTTATTATTTATTTTGAGTTGATTTAATTGTATTTGGACCTCTGTAAGAGCTTTAACAGGTAAAATAAAATTAAAATTAAAAACTGTATATACCATGTTAGTTCACCTTGTCGAACTTTCAATGACAAGGTTGAGTATCGAGAACTTGAACCACAACTTAGGAGACATAACTGAATTAAAAGACCACCTGAATTCTTCACCCACCTTAGGGAAACATTATGAAAGAGTTAGGATGAGCCAGATCATGAGCATACCAGTTAGCAAGAAGCAATAATCTATTCAAAAAAGAACTATTGGATAGAAGTTATGAAAGATGAATACAAGTCCACAACCCAAAATCAGTCTTGGAGTTAGGACCTTTACGTCAAAACTGTAACGATATCGGGTGCAAGTGGGTTTTCAAGAAGAAGCTAAACTCATAGGGGAAACGAGAAAAATACAAAGCTAAGCTAGTAGCCAAGGGATTCACCCAAAAAGAAGGGATAGACTACTATGAAACTTTTTAACCAGTTACAAAGTTTCCATCCATTAGAATTCTAAAAGCCATAGATGCCCATTTTGACTTTAAGGCCCATCAAATAGATGCAAAAATAACATTTCTCAATAGGAAGAACTATATATGAAACAATTGAGGGTTTCGAAGAGAAAGGAAATGGCAACCTGGTGTGCAAAATTAAAAAATCTCTCTATAGTCTAAAACAAAGTATCGTATCAGTGGTATATCAATATTTAAGAGACACTGACTCAGGCAGGGTTTACCTCAAATGAGGAAGACTATTTCATTTATAATAAATTTAGTAGGAGTGATGTCGTATTCATGTCTATATAGGTAGATGATATACTAATAGTTAGTAGCGCGATTGCCCTCGTTTTGGAAACAAAAGAGTTCCTTATACAACACTTTATAAAGTAGATCATCCATGGCTTAGATTTGAGTTTGAGATCAATGCAATCTTCAAAGAGCTTTATCTTACATCAATTCAACTCACACTCTTAATGAGAGAGAAAGATAGAGGAGACAACCTAGGCGTGCCATTCACATGGGACTAGAGAGAGAGAAGATAGTGTGCCACTTTAGAGCGAGAGAGTGAACTCATGTAGTGTGTGAGAATGAATGCTTAAGGGGGTATTTATAAGCTTCTAGTCACCAAATGTATAGATGCTTCTAGATAGATGAATCTAGTCTCCTCATATTACCATGTTATGACGACAAAAAGATGCTTGATCCTACGCTACCATCCACCATCATGCCACCAAGATGTGTGGCATAGATTTAAATATCATTATCCTCTTTTTTAATTAGCTATAATTCACTCCTATTTCATTTATATCAAAATACCAATGCTCTTTTTATTTAATTGAACTTAAAACCAACTTGGAGGGCATACCAATGAGGTAATTTTTCAAAATTCCAACAAAAATCAAATTTGAAAACTTCATCAATTTCATAAAAATATTTGAGGTTAATCAAATCATACCACATAAGCTACTTAGTTAAGTGCACAATTAGCACAAACCCTCAAGGTTTATATTGAAATTACAAATCCTATGTCCCTTCTAGAAGGCTCAGACATGTGCACAAACCATTTACTTTTCACATTTAGTATGTGCTCAAATTAAATTTCTAAAATCACAAAAATTCCACAAAAGAGCATAATTCATTGCTCCTCAATAAATTGAATAATATCATAAAGGACATGGGGGTCCCATAGGGGTTTGACGTCACCCCCATGTTACCCTCCACGTTGGGCAGACGTAGGACTCCCTAGGCCACAACATGGACACCTATTGGCCATTTAATGAAAACAAAAAAAAAAAAAAAAAAATTCTTGCTCAAAAAATCCAAACAAATTTCCAAAAATCCAAGAAATAATTTTAATAATTTCTCATCAAAATAAATAATTTTAACATAGCTTAAAAATATTTGTAAGGGAAATTAGGATCTTATAGAGTTGAATTAGAAATCAGAGCACTCCACTCGGCTAGATCTAAAATCTGAAGCTACATTCTCAATATGACCCAATAAATTCATGATGCATAATGTATAATCAGGAGCTCATGATATAGATTTGTAGACACCCCACTTCTAAAAGTGACAAATTCTGTGATATTCCTGAACCGTTAGGACTACACTATCCCAGTAAACCCTCAGACTATAGACAACCATAGGTCATACTGCTTGCCTTGTGATCTAGAATCCTACAGAATACCCTAATTTAGTAAAAAATCATTAAAAATAGCAAAATATCTCGTTTTAGCCCAAGTTTTGGCAGGCAGCGTCACAAGAGCTTGTAAATACCCCTAGAATTGAAATTTTACGATTTTGGGTAGATTTGATCTAGGTGACACTCCCAGTGCTGCCCAGCCAAACTGGCCCAAATCTTGCAAAATACCTTGTTGTAGTAAAAAAATCATTAAAAATAGCAAAACATCTCGTTTTGACCCAAATTTTGGCAGACAACAACACAAGGAGCCCATAGATCCCCTCATAACTGGAATTTTATGATTTTTGATAGATTTGGTTTGGGCGACGCTCCCAGTGTCGCTTAGCCTAGACTGACCCAAAACAAGGGCAAAGGCTATAAGACAAAAAAAAAAAAACTCTTTGGTGGTACGAGCCTAAACTACCAGCGAAATGTCAGTTCAGAAAACGTTTAGCCTTGAATGACGTAAAAAGCCAGGTGTATCCGTCTAACCCCATATGATGTAAAGGTCGGGTGTATTAAAAAAATTCTAGCCCCATATGACGTAAAAGGTCAGGTGTATATGTCTAACCCAATATGTCGTTAAAGGTCGGTGTATTCAAAAAATGTCTAGCCCCGTATGACGTAAAGGGTCGGGTATATCTATCTATTCGTTGTATGACGTTAAACTGCTTAAAGGGCTCTATGGTTGCAGGAGCTAAAATTGCTAACTAAAAATTTGATTTTCAAAATATCTCTCTTTTCTAAATGATTCATTATATGTCTTGTATTTTAAAAAACCTTAGTTTCTTTGTTAAAATTATAACATGTCCAAAGCTCCTAGTTCTATTTCAAAACTCACCCTATTTTCAAAATTTTTGAAATGTCTCTTAAAACAAAGGAGCTTAGACACCTGTATATGATGATTACAGTGTTACTGTCTCATCTCCCTTTTCAAAATTGACCAAGCAAATCTTTTCCTAAACAAGTAAAACCTATAAAAGACCTTAGAAAACACTAAGGGAATAAAAAAAAGTGTCAAGTTTAAGAATTTGAAATTGTGAAAACCCTAAAGTTAAGTGGCATGGCCAAAAAATCCAACTTGAGTTTTAAGCTTGTGTAACTTACTAACATCTCACGCCGAAAACCTAAAGATTAAAATGCCCTAGGTGGGTGAGCGATAAGCGCAATGACTTGGAGGGATAGTTAGTATAACCTCTGACCACAAAACATCAAGATAAAATTTAAAATGTCTGCATTATCTTTATCACTCACCTGCCCCTTGAAGGACAGAGAGCGCCAAAGAGTGTCTACTTCTTTACCACTCACTTGTCCATGGAAGGACAAGGAGTCCCAAAGAGGGGGGGTAACTGTAGATACCTCATTTTTAAAACTGGAAAATTCTGTGATATTCCTAAACCCTTAGGACCACATTATCCTAGCCAGACCATAAACCACCATAGTCCACTGCCTGCCCTGTGATATAGAATCCTGCAGAATGCCCTGTTTTAGTAAAGAAATCTTTAAAAATAGCAAACCATCTCGTTTTGACCCAAATTTTGGCATGCAGAATCACAAGAGCTTGCAGATACCTTTA